GGACTGCGTCCTCCCAAACCATGAGCTAAGATAAATCCTTTCTCCTTCAGGTTGCTTCATGTCGGACATGAGACGGCATCCAAGGATCATGAATTGTTCCCTTCCTTGTGACTGTCAACGTGATCTGGACCACACCTCTGTCAGAGATGCACACATGTCTCCCTCTCTGTGCCCCCAAGATCACCAGGGAATCTCTAATGTTCTCAACCAACAGTGTCGGAGACACAAACGTTTGCTGAAGCAAATGTCTCTTCTCTTTATAAATAAAGGGTTGGTGATCAGGCATTTGAATCTATTCCGAACATCTCCAGGGAACTCTGCAGTTCCTACCGCTCTGGAAACATCTTTATTTATGTTGGAAGCTTTCCTGGACCGGTTGGCTTTCATTCTGAGGTGTGCCTTTTGTATTTCCAGCCTTCTCACACTTACAAAAGATTTACTTTGGTTTATTCATGTGCACATCTCTGTGTGGGTGTGTCATGTGCGTGCAAGTGCGTGTGGGGGCCAGGAGAGAGCGACATATCCCGTGGAGCTGGAGTTGAGATGGTTGTGAGCCACTCAATGTGAGTGCCGCAAACCAAGTCTGGGTTCTCTCAAAGAGCAGCAAATTCTTTAAGCTGCAGACCCATCTCCCCAGCCCCTCTCACACTGTTTTTGTTTTGAGGACTGTTTACCTGCTATTCAAGTGCTCTCCCACTGAGCTGCATCACTAGCCCTGCGTTTACATCTTCTCTTGCTGGCTTTTCTTCCCATCCTCGCCATTTCTCTTCCAATAAAAGAATTCAGGTGTTCAGGGACTTGATTGGCAGTTGTGCTATTTAGGCTATTCTTGATTTGTTGTAAGGGTGATTGAAACCAGGGGCTTACAGACAGTTGGGGGGGGGGAGCGTTGGCTCAGTGGTTGAGTGTTTGGTTCCCAACACCTACACTGGATAGCCCACAATCATGTATAACTCCAGGTGGACCCTGGAGGATGAGTCAGCCAGCTTCCATCTGCTGCCTTCCGCAACAATGATGGGGTCAGGTGGAGGCCACGGAGCAAAGCTAAAGACTTCCAAAGACTCAGAAGTCCTGCTTTCTCTGTTCCCCCAACGGAGAGGAGGAAGCAGTAGGACCTTTGACACATGTGGCCCTCTTCTAGCCATAAAAGAAGTCATCTTAACCACAAAAATGATACTGAGAAGGAACAGGGGAGAAAAAGACCGAAAGGCACACAGATGTGTTCTGTGATCCAGCCAGACCTGAGGCTCCTGCACTTTCAGAACCGTTACTGGCTGTAAGTAGGAGGGAACTCATACTGTTTTTGCTCTCCAGTGTATCCCCAGCACAGAGTAGGTCCCCAGCACACAGTAGGTCCTCAGTTTAGTTTACAGACTGAAGAAGCGTTAATTAGGTTATTGCAGTGTGATGGTAGTCATCTTCATCACCACCTTGACAGGATTTACAGTCACCATGGAAACACACTTCTGGGTATGTCTCTGAAGAAACTTTCAGAAAGCCTTAACTGAGGAGGCAAGACCCACCCTGAACATGGCTGACACCATCCTAAGTGCCTGGATGAATGAAAAGGAGAAAGTGAGCTAGACATCTGCCGCCCCCCGCCCCCCGCTTTCTGGCCGAAGAAGCAATGTGAGCAGCTGCTTCATGCTCCTTCCCCATGACTTCCTGCCATGATGGACTGTGAACCCTGGAACTGTGAGCAAGAATAGAGCCTTCCCGACTTAAGTTATTGTCGTCAGGTGTTTTGTCACAGTGATCAGAAAAGTGACTAACACAGCCGCTTTGTTCAGAGAGTGCCACAGGGTCCTTAAGACTCTAGGAAACCTCAGAAGCCTGTGACAGGAGGGGAAGGGTGAGCTTGCATCACAGTGCTCACAGCTCTGTAGGAAACTAGTAAACCATAGCCTTTGATCTGATGATGATGATTGCGTTGACTTCTGAACTAAAAGAGGTGTGTGTGTGTGTGTATGTGTGTGTGTGTGTGTGTGTGTGTGTGTGGTGTTGTGAACCTGGACTTCTAGGTATTCCCAGCCATAAATATGCATGAAGAGACCAGAGAAAGACATCAGGTGTCCTGCTCTGTCATGCTCCACCTTATTCCCCTGAGGCAGGCTCTCTCACTGCACCTGAAGCCAGGCTGGCAGGCAGCAAGCCCAGAGATTCTCCTGTCCCCACCTCCCACAGCTCCAAGGTTACAGGCACCTACAGCCACAGTTGACTTTCCATGTGGATGCTGGAGATTTGAACTCAGGTCCTCAGGCTTATGCAGCAAGCACTCTTCCCAACTGAACCCTAAACCCCCAACTCCTTTTCTTTTTGTTGTTTTTTTGTTTTGTTTTGTTTTGTTTTTAGACACGTAGCCTAAGCTGGCCTTTAACTCCTACACACCCAAAGATGAACTTTAGTTTCTGATCCTCTTGTCTCTGCCTACTGTGTGCTGGTTCCAGATGTATGCCCCGCCCCATACTCAATTCACATGGAGGAGCAAATCCAGAGCATCTTATATGCCAGGCAAGCCTTGCACCAACTAGGCTGCATCCCCACCCTTATCAAATTTAGACGTCTATACCACGAGCAAGAAAATGGTGCCAAGGGTCTGAGCTCTTCATTCCCTCACATATTTCCATCCTGACCTCCATGCCATGCAGTCTTCCCATCACCCGGTATCTCCACCCTTCCCACACTCCAACTGTCAAGTAGGGATGATGGTCCCACGGAAATGCTGGAAGCACAGGCTGCCTGCATCTCTTCCCCTGTGGAGTGAGTGCCTTTGGCTCCCCACGGCAGCTGCCTCCCCTGCACCCATAGAGGGGTGAGGAAGAGGAAGGGACCAATATTGGGGGTTCCCTTTGGGGACAAGGCTGCCTACAAAAGACCTTTCCATCTCGTTTCCATTTCATCTGGTTTATAGCCCCAAAAGGTCAGTCTAATTATTTCCATTTTTATAGTCGAGGAAGCTAGGCTCCTAGAGGTGACAAAACCGGCCAGTGTCACTAAGCCCCTAAGTGAAGGTGCTAGCATTCAAGTCCTGGGTTGCTGTAATTTCTGCCACATTGCACCAGAGACGTGAAGGCCCTGACACCAACACCCTTTCCGGAATGTGTGAATCCCCCCCGCAAGTCCAGCCTCCAAAAAGCATTGCGCAACAAACTTCAATGGGGAGCTTCCTCCAGGAAGCTAGCCCAGATTTCCCCCAGCACACATACAGACCTATGGAAACTTGCCGGGTCCCCATCCTGGCCAGGCCAAGATTCAAAATGGCACACAAAAAGCAACTATCTCAGAAGCAGGCTCCTTAGTGCTGCTAAAGACCATCCCTCTCAGGGACTAAAGCCAGGTTGCAGGGTTGTTAGGAGGCAGCTCTTCCTGTGTGACTCATGGTTTGGGGCCTCCTGAGCCAGGCCAGCAGCCAGGGACTGCCAGGAGAGCCCTCATTAAAATCAAAAGAAGACAGCAAGGAAAGGGACCTCTCTAAACAGACTGTGACTCACAGCTGAGGGTTGTATAAGGCAGGAGGACTCGTTTCTGGTCTCCATCACCTCTGCAACAGGGTCAGAGCTTGCAGTACCCAGAGGCACCCCCCTGGCGTGGTGGGGAGGGGAGGGGGATAGAAGCTGGAAGTGGATGGGCAGGGCTGGAGGTGGGGCTGAGGCCCTTGTTTACAGGGCTTCCCTCCAGTGTTCAAAACCTTTCATCCCAAGTTATGCAGCCCAGGGAGTCAGGCTACTCGGCTCTCTGTCCTCCCGACTCCATGGAGACATTCCCCCACAGACCGGTGCCTCTGTCCAGGGTGTCTGGATTCCTGCTCTTGATGCCCAGTGGGGGCCACCCAAAGAAGACAGACCCCAGGCCCTAAATGAGCAGCTGAGGCTTGAAGCTGGAAGGAGGGGTCATTGATCATGTGCCCTAGGCACTTGCTCCCATGACGGGCTTTTCCCCAGGCTGAAAGAAGAATAGGGAAGTCAGGCTCTATATTTGTGTGAATATAGACATAGCTGGCTGTATTACACTCATTCCTCTGATTTTATAGTGAACTATAACCTGAGAATCACTATGCTCCCGTAAAGGGGCTAAGTTGGTCCTGGGTAAGCCCTTTGGGGCTGCCCAATGTGTGGGGTGTGTGTGTGTGTGTGTATGTGTGTGTGTGTGTTCCCTTCTCTGTCACATGGGAATAGTGGAAGCCCAAGAGTAATGGGCTTTTGAGGGCTTGCCTTGGCCTTGTTTATGAGTGGCCCGCCTGTGTCGTTGGTACCTCCCACTCCCTGTCCCCCTGTCCAGTCCCCCCATCATCTCTCTACACACACACACACACACACACACACACACACACACACACACACACGCTCATCGAGGGCCAGATCTCTTGAAGGAGGTGAGGCAGGGTGCCTCCGTAACACAGACAGGAAGACTGCCCGTGGCCTCGTGATCCTCGGTGGAACCAGGACTGAGAAGGCCCTAAGTGTGCTGACAGAAGCAGATGGTCAAGTTATCTCAGTCACGGGTCATGAACAGGGAAGGCTGGGGAGGGGCACTTCTGCCTCGGGAACAGGACAGACTTGGAGCTCGGCCCTGTGGGAGCTTCGGCTTCTCTGTCGCACTGGGTCTTGTCTGCTGAGTTGGTTACAAGGAAGTGAGTGTAATACCAAGCAAGGGGGAAACAGGGCACAGCCACCAGGAGCAAGGTTTACAATTCTGAAACATGGGGATCAGGGCAGAGAGGGAGGCAGGAGGAAAGAGGGCCGTAAGACTGCCCCGTCCCCATTCCCACACCCATTTGAAAGCAGAGCCCGTTGGGCACTAGCTGGCCCCTCCCCCTGGGAGCTTAGCCAAAATGTCAAAGCTGGAAGAATTATTGCATCACTGGGCACTCGAGGGTTAATGATGGGGAGTGGACAGGATCTGTGTATTTAACTAATTGAAAGGTGTCCTGAGATCACAGGCCCCTGCTCACTTCCTCCCACAGCAGCAGGCTCCTCTGCCCCCTGCCTACCTCCCCCAGGATGAAACCTCCCCTCGACCTGGCTTTCCTTTGCCTCCTGGGTAAGTGAGCTTCATGACCTCCCCCCTTCCTGCCCCATCTGGCAATAGGAAGCTCTCTGGATGCCCGAGCATGGCTCTGCACAGGGCATCATGGGTACCAAGCACTAGAAACTGCCCACTTTCTCACCGCCCACCTGGCCATCCTGAGGCTTGTGCTGCCCAAGCCAGCACTGACTGGAAGAGAGGGAGGGCAGGGGGAGAGCTGAGAAATGCTGTGAGGAAGGGGGGAGGGGGTTCATGGGATGGGTGCCTCCCCACAGCTGAATCAGAAGGGTCAGAAGGAGGAATTTAGGGAGGTCCATAAAGGTGGCTAGGAAACAGGCCCAGGGGTGGGTGATGAGATCTTTGTTGGCAGCAGAGTGCCACTGGGGAGATAGGGCCTGAGGTCTGGGGAGATTAAGATTTTTCTGAGAGAAATTTAAAGAGTCGGTGGAGAGTGCCGACACAGCATGAGCTAGTGAAGGGGAGCGAGGAACCTGAGGTGGGCGGGAGACTGCAAAGGCGAACAGGCATGAGCACCTGAGTCCGAATCCCCAAGACCCACATAAAGAAGCTAGGCATGTGGCTCACACCTGAACTCCCCGGTGCTGGGGCCAGAGACGGGCGGATCCTCTCGGCAGGTCTAGGTTCGCTGGGAGATTATGTCTCAAAAAGTAAGGAGGAAAATAATAAAGGAATAAAGGACACTGGTACCAACCACTGGCCTCCATGGATTCACATGTGTGGGTGACACACTCATACACACAGAGAGAGATGAGGGAGGGAGAGAGAGGGGGGAGGGAGACCTAGGAGGTTAAGGCATAAAGGATGCCATTGCTATCATTGCTATTGACAGCTGGGTGCTTTGGGGAGGAAGCTTAACTGAAGAGTTGGGGAAATGTCAGATCTGAAGGGACTTGATGATGGGGCCCTGGACAGGATGCTCACTGGCACTGAGGGACCTTGTGGCCTGGACCTTCTCTTCTGTAGTGCCCCTGGCTGGCGGGAACCTGGTCCAGTTTGGAGTGATGATTGAGAGGATGACGGGAAAGCCTGCGCTGCAGTACAATGACTATGGCTGCTACTGTGGTATTGGTGGCTCCAACTGGCCAGTGGACCAGACTGACTGGTGAGCAGGAGGACCCGTGTGGAGGAGGAAGAGCTGGGGAAGCAGCCTGGGAGGAAGAGGAGCTGGGGGTACCCAGACAGCAGCGATTCGCGCTCTACTTTCATCCTGGGTCCTGGGGCCCCAGCAGCTCTGCTCTAGTCCAGCCCAGCCCGACTCACAGCCCCTCCAGGTTAACTCTGACCCCACAGGTGCTGCCACACCCATGACTGCTGCTATGACCGAGTGAAGAAGCTGGGCTGTGAGCCGAAGCTGGAAAGGTACCTCTTCTCTGTCAGTCGAGACAACATCTTCTGTGGTAGGTGGCCAACCCCGGAGTGACCCTCCCCCCAGACAGGTGTTCCCTCCAGGTGGTGACCTTGGTCCTCATCACAGGGCCAGACCCATTAGCCCTCCCACCCTCCATCATCTCATAAGAGTAGAAACGCATGTCCACCTGTTCCGATTCTTCCGGGGCATCTGGGCTACAGGGCTACTCAGCCTTGTGACCCATAGGTGTGGCCCTTGCTCTGCCCCAGCCTCTGGGGAGTGAACAGAAGGGGCTGAGCTCAGTCACACCCAGGGGAATCATTCACACGACCCTCCCCTAGGAGGCGCCAGGAGGAGCTGTGACTTGGGATGAGGGGTTCGGGAGGGTGTGGGGGTATTCTCATGAGCTGTTTCTCCCCTCTGGGGCTGCTGGGATGGCCCCACCTCCTCCGCTTTGCCAAGTTTTATGCCTATTTGGCTCTATTGGCTTTCTTCTGGGCCTCATCTAGGGAAACAGCCTAAGCCAAGGATACCCAAGGGGCACTTTGGATCAGAGGATCCAACTCTCTTTTCAGTGTAAACCCAGGTACAGCCTGGAGGACAGTAAGGCCTAATGGGTGTAGGACGAAAGGAAAGACAGGAAGGACCCAAGCAGTTAGAGGATCAGGCTTATCACAGAACCCAGAGGTCTGAGCCAAAGTGTGAGCCAAGACCAGCATCCCTGGGGCAGAATTGGCTCCAACTGACTGTCCTGCCCCTGCAGGGGAGCAAGGGTGGGATCGTCCCCAGCTGCGATGGCACTGAGAGAAGAGTCAGGCAGAGGGGACTCAGGCCCTTTGCCTCATGCCCACCGTGGCACTTTGAACAAGGCAATGAGCTGTGGAAAACCTGTGTGATTCCTTGCCTATTATGCTGAGATAGCCTCGCCCATCTCCCCAGCTGCCCACTGTTAGGACCTCAAGTCCTGCTGAAATAGCAGGGGTGGGTGGAATCCCAAAGGGAAATGCTCGTCTTTGAGGGGAAAATGAGGTACCAGACCCTTCTAGACAGGAAGGTGTATTCCTGAGGACAAAAGAGCCAGAGCCACTCTGGACAGACATGGACAACGGCAGTGGGTTCAAGAAGGTCTTCTAGACAGCTGGCACCTACCATGCTAATGCCATCTGGCTCTAGGGAAGGTGGGATGGCATGGAAGGATGCCCAGGCTAGGTGCAGGTTCTGTCTGCTCTGATAGAGACAGGCTGAGGCTCTGAGAGGCCACAGCACTAGTTTAATAGCCTCCAGCCCAGATACTGGCCATCATATTGTCACCTGGGGGAGAGGGGTTGGTTGTTAAGGCCCTGGCATGAGGAAGATGAGAGGTTGTGAAGCCCCTTGTTGGCAGGAGAGGGCTAAGACTGAGTGAGATTGGAAGGGAAGGAAACACCCAGGGCAACGTTTTGGCTCACTGAGTGTCCTGGACCGGGCAGGCCAGCCCCAACCCAGCCCCTGACTGGCAAAACGTATGAAACATCTCCTTGGGGGTGAGCTTTCCTAGGAAGAGGAAAAGCGGCTGAAGATGGGGCTGGGAACCTGGATCCACAGAGCCGCCAGAGCCACCCCCAGCCCGCACCCCAGGCCCTGGCTTATTTCCGTTCCCCTCCAGCTGGTAGAACTACCTGCCAGCGGCAGACCTGTGAATGTGACAAGAGGGCCGCGCTCTGCTTTCGCCACCACCTGGGGACTTATAACCGGAAGTATGCCCACTACCCCAACAAGCTGTGCACTGGGCCCACCCCACCCTGCTGAGGCCCTGCTCATCTCCGTAGCCACCCCAGGCTGCTGCCATCCCAGGCCTGGAGAGGAGCACGGAACCCAAATTCCTCCCCCGAAAACCCATCCCTCCCCTTAGAGATTGTAGCCCCGCCCCCAGCCTCCCGAGGCCACACCCGGTCCCCAGGGTCAGCTAAAGGAGCCCTGGGACTCCTCAGCACTCCCAGGACCCACTAAGCGTCTCCTGGTATCTGTTCCCTCTGAAGAAGAAGAGAATTATATTTCCCTGTACGTCTAACGCTCTTCCGTTGTCTTCCCGGAACTTAGATGGGAGTTTCTTTTCATTGGTTCATTCACCCACCAATCAGTCAGTCCTACTGTGCGTCCCTATCCTGGGCCAGCACAAGGCTAACCGCCGCCATACAGTGGGGGCAGACTCGACATGCTGGCTCCCACCGGCAGGGCCACCATGGTTTTGTTGGTTTTTTTTTGTTTGTTTGTTTGTTTGTTTGTTTGTTTGTTTGTTTTTGTTTTTTTTCTCAACAGTAAGTTCCCACGCTTTCATGCTTCTCAGTCCATGGCCTGAAACTCACTATGAGCAACAGACTGAAGGCATCCGGAGACCCCACCTGCCTCTGCCTCCTGAGGGCTGAGGTGGGAGGCGTGTGCCACCACGCCTGGGCCGTGCTTCTCTTTTTGTCTACATTCTTATCCAAGACTGGTTCTCTCTGGAAGGAACATTTCTGGCCAGATGGCTTACTATGAGGCATAGAAAAAAAAAAAAAAAAACCTAACCTAAAAATACTGTCCCCATTGTCATCAGACCTCAAAATGCCCTCACTGGCGAGGGCTAATTTAGATGGGAAAGTAGCCTTAGATCCATCTTGTCTATCCCTCACTTTAAAAAAACAAAAACCAAACAAAGAAAACTCCAAGGGTTTTGAGGCAAGGTCACATGCAGCCCAGGCTGGCCTTGAACTTGCTACGAAGCCAACAATGCCCCCTGAGTGCTATGATTGCATGCATTAACTAGCACAGCTGTTTTCACACAGTGCTGGGGAGAAAACCCGGGCTTCATGCATGCTGGGCAAACATTCTATCAACCGAGGCACGGCTCTAGTCCAGTCCCCTTTTCTGATAGTCAGGTATCTGAGGGCCAGAGAGGGCAAACTCTTCCCGAGAGGTGTCCTCACTCCAGGTCCTTCCCCGCTTCAAGAAGTGGGCACCAGCTGCTCCATCAGGACAGTCCGGTGTGACTGCGTTAGCTGGACCTAACAGATGGAGGGAGGGTCCAGGTGTCCAGGCAAGTCACCAGCGAGCATACACAGCTGCCTCAGGCTCCTGTCAGAACAAGAAGAGCAGAGCTCCCCCTGCTAGGCCCCTTAAAGGCCTCTCAGTGGGAGAGGCCTCCGGCTACTCCAGGAGTAAAGCTCCTAGGCAGATTTTTCTTCTAACTACAGCTGCCAAACTTCCGCCATCTGTAGAAAGCCTGCAGCAGCCTAAGGTTCGAGAAGAGCCTGGTGCGTGGCACAAGGCAGCGTAAGCATTGCGTAGGGCGAGTCTCGAAGAGGAAACTCCATAACTGCCCGATCCCTTTGTGCTTTCCGTGGTACAACATCTCTGCGAGCTTGAAATCAAAGGGATGCGTCACCAGGAACTTTGAGGTGAAGCAAGGCGGCAGGGGCGTCTGTTTTAACTGACTCAAAGCACTGGGGAGGAAGTCCTGAAAGCAAAAAATGGCTTGTGAGGACACCAGCCTGGCCCTCCTTTGACAGGAAGTATGGTCCTGAGGCGCCCTCTGGTGTCCACCTTTTCAGGCTGTTAGGGAGACTATCAGCTCTGGCTTACGCTTTTGGGTTTCCTAACCTCTGTCAGGCAGGTACATCTTGGGCTAGGGACGCTCTCAAGAGTGAACATGCTGAGACCACCCAGGTGGCCTCGCCACCTTCATAGAGTGATGATGGACCCGACGGCAAGGGAAAGTCCAGAAAGTGTGATCTGGGTGGGCAGACCAGAGGTTATTTTTGGGCATGGTTGGTTTTGGGTACAGTGGGACACTCTTGACAGACTTATAATTGTCTAAGTAGCCAATAAGTGAAAGACTTAAAAACACGACTCCCGAGCAGCCTGCGGGGAGCCAGCTCCCACCTCAGACCAGGCTGTGAGCCTGCGGACCACAGGGTCTTCTGTCTTCCCAGGTCTCAATAAAGATTCAGTGAATGAGTTGAGGGATCTGTCTAGATCATACTTGCATGTGTGTCCTCCGTACAAATGCCAGATACTGGATCAAGACTTGGGGAAACGGATGACAAGGAAGGAGAACCCTGAACTTGGAGTCAGGTACAGACCTATGTTCTCCTGTTTCACAGGAGCAGGTTTGCTCTAGGGCAGGTCCTGCTGGTCGTGACCCCCTTGTCGTTGAATGACCTTTTCACAGGGGTCACTCAAGACCATCCGAAAGCATGAATATGTACATTATGATTCATAACAGTAGCAAAATTACAGTTATAAAGTAGCAACAAAATAAAATTTTTATGGTTAGGAGTCCCCACAGCATGAGGAACTGTGTTAAAGGGTGACAGCACTAGGAAGGCGGAGAACCCACTGCTCAGGAGGCTGAGGACAGACAGCATCGGCAGTCACAGGCAGCAGTGACAGTGGCAGCCATGTTGTTAGAGATTTCGCATCTGATGCTGGGCCTGCTGTGGCAGAGTCAATAGATTAACAGGACCCCTGGCTGTGTAGAAAATCTAGGAGATCTGCCAGTTGTCACAGGCTGAGTGTTTCCGCAAGTCCGATGGAACAGAGATGGTTTCCACAACAAATCCATGCTCAGCTTCAGTTAACTATAGATAAAGTACATTTATATGCCTGCCACATGAACAGGTATTTGTGTCCTAAAAACTTGATGGCTGTCAGAGTAGCAATGCTGCATAACATTGAGCAGTTGCTATTTCCAGAATACTGCCCTCGAGTGCTTTATGTGATTGATGGATGCATGGATGCATGGATGCATGTCGGGGGTAGGTGGGCAGGTGGATGGATGGATCCACACACGTGCCTGTGTGTGTGAGGGTAGGAGAGGGTAGGTGTGTGTATGCATATATGCAAATGTAAGGGTGGGCAGATGTGTGCGTGCTGGGGACTGAATGGCTGGATGAGTGGATAGATGAATACATGAGCGCCTCTGTGAGGGGAGAGGAGAACACATGGATGGGTGGATGGGTAGATGGGTGGATGAATGTAAGTATGGATGGATGGATTTGTACATGTGCACATGTATGGGGTAGAATGATGAATGGGATGAATGGGTAGGTAGATGGATGGATGGGTAAATGCGTGCATGGTGGGGGTGAGTGGATGGGCGGGCAGATGGGTAGATGCATGTATATGTGGGTGGTGAGTTAATAGATAAATAGATACATGGACAGATGGACATACAGATGTGTGCGTGATGAGTGGGGGTGGGGAGACGGATGGATCCACAGAGGATGGATAGATCCGTGGTAGGGGTCTCTGAGAGCCAGGAAAAAAAAAAAAAAAAAAAAAACAGAAATGAGCCACATTGGCCGGGGAATGTCCTTGAATATGCATATACTCGACATTCCTCCTGCACCCCCCTTCTTGCTTAGTAAGCCTTCCCAGAGACCTTGAAGGAAGGACAGAGAGACTGCCATGTGGTTCAGCCTCTGCCAAAATGCTTATGCTACATCCCCAACCAGCCTCCCTTCCTCCACATCTGGGCCATTTTAGAATCCCACCTTAAGGTCAGGCCCTGTTTTGCTGTGATCAGTCTCTCGGTTTTTGGTTTTGTTTGTTTTTTGTTTTGGTTTTTCTTTTTTTCAACTGAGACCACTAACGTAATTAAGAGCTGATTTTTTGACGATGCCTCCACGTCCCATCTCTTGATGAGTGGGTGGATACACAGTTGGGGGGAGGATGGATGGGTCTATCACTGATGTGTAGATAGATAAACGGATAGATGGAGGAATGGATGGATAAACGAGTGAGTGAAGCAAGGGGCTATATCAAGGCGGGGGAGGGGGCATGGATGTTTCATAGCTTTTCTCTCCAATGTGAGCCTTGAGATTGATCTTGCTTTTGTTCCGATTATGCCCCTGACAAAAGCAATGCACAAGTGCTCCATTAAACAACTTGCTGAATAAGCGGTTATAAATCACAACAGGATTCCTGAGTTAACTGAAGAGCCTATGATGTCGGACGCATTCATCTGCTTCTTTGAGGTTCTTTGCAATCGTGACTGGAAGGCTCAATACTTCATTAAAGTTTATTCTCTCTTCCCATGATGCTGGAGAGAGAGAAGCTAGCTGTGGTCACCTGGCAGGCACCTCCGTCCTCCAAAGTCTTCATCCGATCCACTGATACCTTCCTTCATTTCTCTCATGTCACTTCTTGGTTCTCCATAAATCATCAGTGTCTCTCTATTGTCTGATAGCCCCAGCATTCAGGCTCTGGTACTTTCAGGCTTGTCCTTTCAAGACAGAGGTCATTCTAAGATGCCAGATCTCACAACCTAAAGAGAACAGGCCTTGCCCCCACTGCTGAAATCACCCTGGGACAAGAGGTAAGCTGATCTGGGCTATGGTTTTGACAGCTCCTACTTTATGGTCCTACCTGTACCTAGCCCCTCCATTTTCCGGTCATGTAGGCTAACCCCATAAATCATGTAGGCTATATCTGCAAAATGCGCAGGCTAACCCAGACTAACTTATGCCATGTAAAACTTCCTGCCAGCCCCTGAAAACTTATAAAAGTCATGTATCTCAATTGTGAGTGGATGTCAATCTCGGTCAAACTGCCAAGCTTGTGTCTGGGTCATTCCTAGTACCTCTTACCCCAGATTTTTTGGGGTCCTTTCATGGTAGGCAACCTTGGATCTTCATCCTGCCTCTGCTCCTGTCTTTGATCGTGGACCAGTCTATTCCTTTCTGTGTTATTGATCCCAAGAAAAGCAATGCACGTGGTGCTCCACTGAGTAAATTGCTGAATAAATGAGATGTCCCAATAGCATCCCTGCTTTAGCTGAAGGGCCTAATTATGGGGGGACAGTTCCATCAGCCTCCTGACAGTTTTAAGGTTTAAATGAGTACCTGGGGCATAATGGACGCTCCATCTACATTTAATCTCATCCTCTACTACGATCATCACGACAATGATGCTAAAATACCTGCCCAGTTGATTCCAGGGGTGTATGATGTAGCTGGAGCTTAGGGTAAAAGCCTAGCCCGAGTTAGGCTCAGGCACTCATCATACCAGTACCATAATTAGATAGAGAATTTTGGAAGCAATGTAGCTCTGTGGGTAGAGCGCTTGCCTAGCATACAGAAGTCCTGGGTTCAATCCCTGCGTTGCATTAAATTGGATATGGTAGAGCAAGACTGTATTTCTAACACTCAGAAGATGGAGGCAGATGGGCCAAGAGTGTAAGGTCACCCTCAGCTACCTAGTGAGCTTGAGGCCAGTCTGGGTTACAAGAGAACCTGTCTCAAAAAGCAAAGAATGACAAAGAGCTGAGAGGTTTAAGCAACAGGCTAGGATGGGATCCCAAGTCAATCTTGGGAGTGCTGATAAGAGCTATAGATTTAATCAGGAAAAATGAAAGCAGGAGGCAAGAGAGAAGGTAAACATCCTGGTTTAGGGTGTGGGCTTGCCCTTTGCTGCCTCAGTTCTGGTCCTGAATCATTAATCTGCCATCACCAAGGGAACAATCTCGTTTTTTTACAGGATGATCCGCTTCAGGTGGCAGCCTCCGAGGAGACACTCACTCTCATCCTGTGGGTGGTTCGTCCTGCCCGATTTGTTCTTCCAGGAATTCAGGGTGACTGACTGTAGGTTTAGGACAATGGCTTTTTGTGCTTTTGGTCTTGAAGGGAGATGAGGCAGGTTCAGGCAGACAAACACACCTTAGAAACTGACTGGCCCATGTAGGCATCTGAGCCAGAGTAAAGGTGACAGACAACAAATGAAGGCAGGGATGCCAGGTTTTCAGTTGCCTGTGAGCTCAAGCTTGGAGTCAGCACCTCTCAGCAAAGGCAGTTTCTATGAAACGCCTGCTTCAGTTGGAACCATCTGTGGGAAGGGGCTCACAGTTGGTAAACACTGCCCTGGTTCACTTGACCAGCCCCTTGGCTCCTTGCCATGTGGTCAAGAGCTTACATGGATGCCTCTTTGAGCTCAATGCCTTTGCGCTGATGTCCCCAGAGGCAAGGAGGTGAAGCTGCCAGAGATGCTGTGGAAGTTCTGGAGGGCTGCTACCTGCCATGTCCCCAGGACAGTGCAGAAGAGACAAGTCCACCCACCCAGCAGCCCAGCTGGACTCCTTTGTGAGGAAGCTCAGCATTGCTCTAACGAGAGGCCTTAATGAAGTGTTTTCAAGTCTCCCTCCCCCCTGCTCTAGGTAAACCCAACCCTAAGGGCAGGACTTTCCCAACTCAGGGCTGTTTATGCTGGTCCTTTGCTGCAGAGCATCTTCCAGAGTGCTGCACCTAACTCCCCTCTCATGCACTGACCACTAAGCTTCCCTTGACTTCTCTGAATTCCTGGACCAACTGCTCAGCCTTTCTTTAGGTCACCTTTTGCGTGTCTGGGTTCCTTTGTTGCTTCGTTTTCTGAGGCGTGCCTCATGTAGCCCAGGCAGACCTCAGCTTTACAATTTAGCCAAGAATACCTTGAACTTCTGCTTTTCCTGGGATGGATGTATGTACATGACTCTATGTATATGGTGCTGAGGATGGGACCCAGGGCTTTGTGCATTCAAAGCAGGCACACAGCCCACAGAGCTGCATCTCTGTGTATTCTTTTGGGTCACAGCTGTGTGTCTGTCTTCATCACTACAGCGGAAGCCTTTGGTAAACAGGGTCCCCAGCCGTATCCAAAGACCTAAAGTACCTGTAAGATGGAATCTCAGATGTTTGGGTGGGTAAACAAACTACATACGAGCAATACCCAAATCCCTCCGCCGCACTCAGGCCGCTTTCAGACAAGGCGCAAAGCAATTTCAGACAAAGGCGCAGAGCCAGAATCTCTGAAGCAGGTGACCTGGCCTCTATCCTCTTCAACCAAAAAGTGCTCAGTGTGCATCAGTGCCGTCTGAGGGCATCCACTTCCCAAAGCTGTGCCAGTAAAACTGGATCAGAGTAGGGCAGTGTGTGAGTGTTGACAAGGCAAGTGTTGTAATACCCTCTAGAGGGAGCCATGCTGGTGGTGCCCTGCAGGGTAATTCTCAAGGTGGCAGATGACGGGAAGACTGCTAGACGCGTTACAAGGTGCCGGGCAGGTCTTAACAATGGTCTGCCTGGTCACGAGACAGCATCCACGTTGCCTCTGCCAGGTCCCAGACGACTACCCAGCCAGAATACTGAGTCTAAGCACCTCCAATCTCCCATACAAGTCCCGGAAGGGACACATCCCGGCATTCTTTCTCAGCCCCTCTCCGTTTCCCAGGTGGTGGTCAGGTATAGGCGAGAACAATCCGAGCCAACAAAGTAGCTCAGTGGTAGAGTACATGCCTAGAACATCCACTCCCAGGCAGCAAGCAAGCAAAGAAAAACAAACTGACCTGAACTTTGCTTTTGAACTAGAATTTATTGGTGTATAAAACCCATTTCAAAGATAGAGCGGCATGTCTTCGCGGCTCCTATTGCACCAAGTGTTGAAGATTAAAAACACAAAAATATTTGGTTCTTAAAACACTGCAAATAGCCAAGTACAGTACTTTGGTAAATAAAAAATAAAATGACTCAGAAGAACACAATCTGTGAAAAGAGACAGCCTAGGGCAAATGGGCTCAAGAACCTGAATATGGTTATTTCTCACCACTACGCTCCCTAGCTAAGGCAGACTTGCTAAATCTAGGGGTCATGACCCCACGGAGACCTTAGACGTCTCTAGACCGAAGCTAGAACAAGTACAGTGTAGTTAGAAAGAAGGCGGACACACTGGCCCTCTTTCTAGGGGGACAGACACACCAGCATTGTGACCGAGAAGGGGAGTAGGGTGGTGAGTGCTGAGCCTAACTCAAGGTCCTTATCTCCCCTTGTCTGAGCTTAGTGCAAGTAAGGGAAGCTGGGAGGGTAACCGCCATGGAAAAAACGAACCACTAAGAATAGGAAGACATGGAGAGCCCCACGCCAGCAGGGCTAAGGTTTCAACAGGCTCTATCAGGGATCAGAGCAGAGGCGGAAGGCCGATGAGCTTCACTGACTGCCATGGAGGCTGAAACAGGGGCCTGAAGCACGCTCCTGTGCAAGGATCAGAGCCCAGAGGTATCTATCTGTGCTCGGGACAGAGCAAAGGAGCCCTGGATCACAGGTACGGCCTGCTTACTGTAAACTCACTGTGCAAGTGGTAACTGTGCAGAGGCCACCAGCCTTCTCCAGGAACCGTGAGACTCTAGAAAGAACTGACTGAACAAACTGTCAGAAGTTCCCCTGGGACAGAGGGCCAGGCTATCACAGCACACAGCTCTCAAAGTGCAGGGGGCCACACACACCGCCCTCCCACTTATGACAGAGGCCTGGCATTGCCTCCATTCAGCAGTCAACTGTTAGAACCCAAACATGCAGCTCTACCTTCAACTCAAGGATTCCAGGCATTCCAGGACACGGAAAATGCTCCTGTGGGAGCGCCTCTTGGACTGCTGGGGGCAGCAGGTGTGAGCAACACTCACCCTTCAAGGAGAAGGAGGCACAGAGCAGGTAAAGGGAATGACACAACTGAAGCCCTGGCCCTGGCCGGGCCCAGAGGTAAGGGTGAGAAGCTGCAAGCCCACGCAGGGCTCCAGAAGGGATGCAAAGGCCACAACTCTCAGGAGGTTCCTCCTCTTTGTGCTCACACATCCTCTGCTTGAGGGGACGGAGTCCACTATCTGGGGACCTGGGCTTCCTCTACCCAGCTGGACGTCTGAGCTGAACATTTCAGAGGTAAAATAAGGGCACTCTATGTTGTCCTGGTAAAACCCAGGTGGACAGCAGTTTCTCAGAGTGAAACTGACTGCAAGGCCTCACTGTGAGCGCAGTCCACTGGCACACTCCGCCCGACTCTACCTGATAACCTGAGCCTGCCGCCAGCCCTGCTGCAGCAGCTCCACTTTGCCGGTCCCCAGCGGGGTGAGGCACTGTACCTGCGCTACAGAAAGGTTCCCCACTGAGCCCACTCCAGCTGCCCTGCAAGGTCAGCCCAGTTCACTTTCACAATCAAATTAGGGCCGGAGTGTTTTCGGAGCTCACAGAAGAAACCACAGGCAACCCTGGTTGGCATTTAGAGTCTTCGTGCTGCCACAATTCCTGCCTGACTTTGCTCCCTGAGGGCAAATGTTCCTGTAGAAAACCCAAATGAACATCTGTATTCTCAGCACTGTCTCCTGGTAGGCTATACCATCTGGAGGTATGGACCATGTTAATTCATCTGCCTACAGTGCAAAAGGGTTGCCAACAATTTTTTTATTTTATTTTAGCCTTAAATTATTCTTAAAATCTAGGAAACCTTTCTACACAGTTTATAAGGCCATGAAGCTCCGTGGCTTTTCTTTGTGGCCTCATGATGAGCTACCATGCTCAGGCAGCAGCCAAGACTCAGCCAGAAGGCTAACAGGTTCCCTTCCCTTCCCAGGGCAGCTCCTCTGAGACTACCTGGACTGGAGGAACAGTGTTAACTGTCGTCACCTCAAAGCTCGCGAGCTGGGCCTCACCCTAGCTGCCAATGAGGTAACTGTCAGGTGCCCACTAACGTGGTAATGCCTACAGACCATCCACCTCTCACTCGGTGAACCTGAGGTAGTGAGGTCCACAGCCCGAGACTGAGCTGGGCAACACGCTGAAGCTGGGTGCAGACACCCCACTTCCAATAACCAGCATGTTAAAGAAACACACATCAACTGACACCGGAGAGCTGGATGGTGACAAGAGAAACTTGCTTAGACGAAACTGCTGTGTTCCAGAAGGCAGGAGTTACTGCCAGAGGCAGGTAACTCAGAACTAAATGCAAATTTGTAAAGAAAAGCATTCTGTATGAGCAGCTCTGACACCCAAGAGGCCGGAGGCACCTTCCTCAGCTAGGTCAACTGCAGCTTTGCGAGTGCCTGTAGGCTGCTGAGAGCTAGCCAGAGCTTGGACTTTTAAGTACTAGGGATGGACAGGACTTCCCACGACCAGGCATGCATCACTGAACACTCTACCCCAGCCTGCCACCTCTGACTTCCAACCCTGAGGTTTTGGTAAACAACCCTGACCTTTCTGCAAGGTCCTGGCATTCTGTGGTCAAGCAGTACAAAACAGAGAGCAGAGAGCTTCCATTCATGCCCTGCCCTGGTGATCTCAGAGAACACTGGCTCCCAGAGGCAGCCCCACTCCTGTCCCTTGGAGCACAGCAGCCACTGCCCTCCCTTACTGAGACTGAAGCCTGAGTCTCTAGCTGAGGAGAAAAAAAATGCCATGTAGTTTGCAAATCTGCACTACACTGCAATGTCCTGTACACAGGAAGCAACACAGCGTCCTGGGAGAGATTCCAGGAGACTTCTGTGTTCCAAACACAAAGTCCCAAAGCCAAACTAATGGAAAATTAAAGGACATCATTAAACTGAAGAACTAAGCAGCCTGCTGATAAGACAACTGGATGAATCCGTGACCTGCCCAGACAGTGCAGTCTGTGTCTAGATATTTTTGTAATTTTTTTTGCCTCTATTGACAACAAATGATTTATCTTTTGACTCAGAATACAGGATTAGTCCAAATACTGGGTTCCAAGAGGGCAACGATTTTAGTCATGATTGTTCACCCCACACATGACAGTTTAAAGCTAGCATCCACATAACCTGTCTGGGGAACAGCGCCTCTCCTTCCCTGCCAGCTGGCTGAGCCACATCCCGTCTCCCCAGCCACTGCTGTACTGTTTAAAATACCAAATAAGGCTTAAATTTAAAAAAAAAAAAAAAATCAGGATACATGTTGTAAGCTCCCCACAACCATAGGTGCGGAGTGAAATGGGGCCTTTTATTCTAACCCTGGCTAACCTGGAACTTACTACACAGCCCAGGCTGACCTCTGGAATCCTGCCTCCGCTTGAGTGCTGGGATTATAGGCTTGGCTCCAGCCACCATGGCTGCTATGTTATGGGATTTCATTCCATTTTCACATGTTAAGAAAACGTACAACCTGTACGATCAAACAAGCAGATATTTCTCTGTAGGCATCTTCCTGAGTCTAGCATAGCAAAAGAAAAATATAGAGTTACTCAAAATTCAAGCAAGAAAAACTATTCCTATACACTGCTCCCACAGAAGTCTTTAGATCCTTCCAGGGAAAAACCTAAGAGGCCCCCAGATCCCCCTGCACATCCGGGCTCAGGGGGGTGCCACGAGCAGTGCCACGCCATCTCCTAACTGTCCAGAAAAACATCCTAAATACCACTGCGCTGTGGGGGCTCCCAGCAAAACCCAGAGCTCACCCACAGCCAGGCACATCCACCACACTCTGAAGAAGGGAGGGGCAGTCACACTCTCCGAGATAAAACCAGAGACAGGAAGAAGGGAGAGGGACCTGATGTCTCTGACCACTGTGAGCCACCCACCCACCCATAGCACTGACATGTCTGAGTGACCTGTACTGGAAGCAAAGCAAATCTTAACATGCTCCTAAGCTGGTTAACCAGGATGTTCATCCCTGCTTGAAAATGAGAGAGAAACAAAGGAAGTTGTCAGTGTGGTTTTCTAATGATTGTGCAAACGACTTCAAGAATGAATGCAGCAAACCCACCGCACACGGCAAGAGCTTCGAATCCCCTCGATCAGACACAGGGCAAATAAAGCCTCCCTACCCCATGACCTGTCTATGACTCAGTATTTTGTTTGTGCTCCTGAAGGTGAATGGCATCACCATACTGTCACACAACAAAATACTGACAAACAAAGCTCAGGACAGAAAGAGGCAGCCTGAGGAACACTGACTCCTGTGGGCTCGTGTGCCGGCGCTGTCAGTTGTCCCATTGTCAGAGGACAGCCAGCCGGGAAGCCTTGTCTGCAGCATTCGGCCTCCACCTCTCAGGGCCTGGGAGTCAGATGTTCAGAGCAGCAAAGGTCTTCACCAAGGTGACCTGCGTGTTCACCTCTGCTTCGCTTCTGCTGGCGTCCCTGTGGCTGTTTCTGTTCTCCAGGGCTTTGTGGCGGTGCCTCTCCTCCTGGCGTTTCTTCTTCTCTAGTCGCTGCTGCTCCCTCCGCTGCTTGTTTGTAACCTGGAATAGAAGCCATGTGGGTCACTATTGCTGTAAGATTCTGGGCCCAGATGGTTTTCTGCAAGAGGAATCATTTCTTTTCCGTCACTGTTCAAATAGTCTTCCCTTCCTGAAGCATCAAATAAAATCAATCCAAATGACCCACAAAGACAGTGGCCCTAGTCCAGCAGCTGACGGATGTCGCAGAGTTCTGGAGATACTTTCCTGTCATTTAAGACTCTAGATGATGGCAATAAAGTTCTCAGATTGTGGCATCATTTTCTGCACTTTAGTGACATACTAGCTCAGAACATGCCTTTAAGACGAGTTCCAAACTGAGTAAGCTGATGACATCATGTGCACTTGGAGTCGGGGCAGGGGTGGAGGTGCACATCCGACAAGTTACCGCGAGCCTCACGCACATCTAGAGACACGCCCCACACCTTTCACCTGGAACTTCACTCAAGAAAATCATGCCAAGCCCAAAGATTTACACACAAAGTCCTTTACTACAGACGATGCAAAGACACCCTGCCGCCCTCAACAGCAGCATCGAATGGAAGGAGGCAGCTGCGCATCTGTCCGGAGGGGCTATGAGCAGGTGGCTGCACCCTCCTATTGTGACTGTGGGACAAGCAGGGTCTTCATGCTGCGTCTCAGTGTGCCTCTGTGTGCCTGTCCCCAGATGCTCGGCAGTAACCAGAAAAATGCACCCTAGGGTGAAAGTCAGCTTCTCACCCCTGCTACAGAATTCCCACAGGGCCCTTGCTTCCCCACCCCCATACCTTGGGGAGCTGGCTTCTGGTTGCTTTGTTTTCTTCACTAGGGCTGGCCCGAGCCTTACTGTTTTCCGTCCTGCCTTCATTTCCACCCTGACTTCCAAAGAGTTTGGAGCCGCTGCCTGCCTCCTCACATGAAGGGCCACACTGCTTCACCTGGTCATCAGGCTCAAGGTTCTCCACTTCGTCTTCCAAAGAAAGGCATTTTGTTAAAACCAAGAACCCAGCAGTTACACAGAGCAACTGCAGTTAAATGACTTCAAGATCACCCAGGTCCCCAGATCCCGGTCATTTTCAAAGCCAGGTTCCTTGAGGTGGAATTCCACTCTCAGGTCAGTGGTCAGGAAGGCTGCGGGAGGAGCGTGAAAACCCCTGGCTGGCTGCAAGGCTCACAGCCAACCTTCTCTAGCAGAGTACTGGGATTACAGGCGGGCACCACCCTGCCCGGCTTGGATGAACTTTTTAAAGATGATTTTTAGGGACAAAGCATTCATTTGTATCCCAAATCTAGAAACAAAACATGACCTAACCCTACACTGTGCAATACAGCGGCTGCTAAGATTTAAGCTAATTTAATGAAAACTCACTTAAAACGCAGGCCCAACCTCATCCCAAATGCGAGCATCTCACTACTCTGCGCAGCACAGGCACTGGGCAGTGCTGCTTGTTGTCCGGATTGGTGGGCGCTCACAGCACTTGAAGGGGACAGATGGACAGAGAGGACACTGCAGCAGTGGCGGAGATCTATGAACAGCAGCTTGAGGGGAGCCAGTGGCATAACTACTTGAAGCTTATTTAATGTCTGAGGCAAAGACTTACTGTTTCTTTTGCCTTGGTTCATCTGAAGCACAGCAATTACTGCAGATTCGATATTGTAATTTTCAGCTTCCAGGTTCTGAACTATCAAATTAAAATCCTACCAAAGAAACAGAGAAACACTTGAGACGCTGGATGTGTCGTGCTCCTGAGCTCTGATTCATCAGTCTGATATTCACAAACCTAGAACACAGGAATTGACAGAGTTCCAAGACCTCATCCACTGAAAACATCAAGTTCAAACAAGGCAGTAGCCATTTCAGTGCTTTTTCTTTATAAAACTAGGCCTTTACTAGGGCAAATCCCTCTCAGGTTAACCCACTCTGTAGGATTGTGAGCATTAAAGGGTAAAATCCAGCAAACAAGAGAAATGAATTAACAGCTCTCACTCTCTTGGGCCTCTGGCAGGACAGCTCTGGCAGACAGAACCTGCTGTAAGGCATGGCATTGAGCCTCCAGCTGTGAGCCATGGCTGTAGGGCAAGATACTAACTGAGCATCCAGTTGCATTGACAACTTTCTGGACAGCATCTTCCACTTCATCTCTCAGGCCATCTTCAAAGTCCACCCTTTTTGTCTTGATTTTTTCTTTTTTACTTGTTCCATCTTGATGAAGCATTTGGAACTAAAAGAAACAGCATAGGAACCATGGCTCCAGCAAATTCCATTTGACTCTCCAACACAGGAAGACAGCTGAACCACAAAGCATCCAAACCCAGGAGGAAGCATTCTAGAGGCAATCCGAAGAGACCAGCAATGGCTACATTCGTCCACACAGTGAGGATGCACACAGGCTGGGAGGAACCACCCAGGAACAGCAGCCCCAAGGCACCTGAGGTCCTTGGGCAGCAGCAGCTGGACAGGGACAGCAAAGCCTGACAGCACACATGTGTCTCTGCTTGCTGAATACAGAGGACTGTCCCTAAACCCTCGTCTGTTGAGCTCCTGAACTTATAATGCCAGCCTTGAGAGACACACGTATTCAGCTCTCACCTGGCTGCCACACTCTCTGATTATCAGCAAGCTCTGAGCCAACAGACATGGTCAGGGAACCTGGGGTGTCCAGCTGCAGCAGATGCTACGTGTGAAGTGAGTCACTCTGTGGTAGGTGGGTCTTGGTGCTTAAGAGAAAGAATTCTACAAGATGTCTGGGTGTGCCAAGAGGTATCACCTGTATGCTAACCAGCTAGGAAACATGAACAGAAAAAGCTCCACTTCTTGTAACAGGAATAAAAATACAAAATATCTAATAATAAAAATCAAGGGGGCTGGAGAGATGGCTCAGTGGCTAAGAGCACTGTCTGCTCTTCCAATTGACCCGGGTTCAATTCCCAGCACCAACATGGCAGCTTACAACTGTAATGCTCACAATTGTCTGTAATGCCAATTCCAAGGGATCTGACATCTTTACACTAAAACACATAAAATAAAAATTAAATTAAAAAAAAATTAAAAAAAATCAAGAAAAAAATAAGCCAGCTGTGCCTGAAGAAACTCCCACGGATCTCACATACACTGACAAAGCTTACCAGGTCCTAGCTAGGACCACTTAAAATTCATACAGATGGTAATTTTCCTTTAATCTATTAATCTAGCAAGATTCCAATTAAGGGCCTGAGAATGTAGTTCACTTGGTAGAATAGTTGTCCAGCATATACAAAGCCCTGGGTTCAAACCTTAGCACAGCATAGAGCAGGCATGGGGGCAAGTGTCTATAACCTGAGCATGTGAGAGGCAGAAGCTGGAGGGTCAGAGGTTCATATCCTCAACTACATATGAAATTGAAGGTCAGCCTGGGCTACATGAGACTGCCTTAAAAAAAAAAAAAAAAAAAAAAGCAGAAGGCTTAACAATTAAGAGCACTGATTGTTCTTCCAGAGGACCCAGATTCAGTTTCCAGCACCCACATGGTAGCTCACAACCATATGTAACTTCCATTCCAGGGAATCAAGGGCACCAGGCATGCACATGGTACAGACATATACACTCAGGCAAAACAGCCATACACACAGAATGAAAACAAAGAAAAAGGGAGAGGTGAGAGGAGCTAGAGAGACGGCTTCACAGGTTCCCAGGATGCACTCTGGATGGCTCACGGTCCTGAGGCTCTGACACCCTCTCTGACTACCTTAAGCACTCTTACTCGGGCATACATACACACACACAGATCCACACACAGCACATAATTTAAGACAAACGCTTAAATTATCTTTAAAAAGATTCCAATTAGGAAAAAAAAAAGCCAGTTTTAAAAGCAAAACAGAAAATCATAAAAACAAAATTAGTAAGTGAAAAAATTGCACCAGATTTTACAGCAGACTCGTGCTAATTAAAACAGCAGGACATCAACACACAGAGGCCAGTGGAGCAGAAGCCAGCAGCTAAAGGGAGACACAAACCCATATGGGACTAAGCAGGAAGGAAACACACACAGCGCAAAGACAGTCTGGCTGCATCTGGTCAGCACATAAATAAGCCGGGCCATCACCCTACACCCTCACCAACATAAATCCCGAACAGAGACTAGATTTCATATAGAAACAAAGAGGCGGCAGGTGTAGGGACCCACCTCTGCAGTCCTTGCTATAGGAGACACATATGTCTCTACTATACAAGGCAAGAGGTTCACAGCAAGTTCAAAGTCAGCCTGGAGCAATCCACGGAGACCTTGCCTCAAAAAACTAAAAGTGAAAACTAAAGATAAATAAAAACAAAAATGTAACTAAGCCAGGCATGGTGGAGGAAGTCTTTAATCCCAGCCCTTGGCAGGCACAGGCAGGTGGATCTGTGAGTGTTAGGCCAGTCTGGTGTACACTGTAAGTTCCAGGACAGCCAGGACTAAATAGAGAGATTCTGTCTCAAAAGATCAAACCGGATCAAAGCAAAAAATGTAATTATAAAAGTAACATGTAACAATGGAGCCACATGGCAGAATATCATGCAGCCTTCAAAAAGATGCAGGAAGTCTTTTGTGTACTGCTATGAATTAAACTCCAAGACACAGTAAATTTAAAGGCCACCATGCATAAAGGATCTGAGCACTTACAAGATGCTACAATTTGGGCTGAAGGAAGTATAAAAATAGCAGACATGGGTTGGAGATGGTGTGGTCACTATGAGTGCTCCCTGGATTTGGGTCCTAGCAATAATAAGCTAAAGGTGGCCTGGGGCCCAGCTGCAATCCCAGTGCTGTGGAGGACGGAGACCAGAGGACTGCTGGGTCACACGGGCTCCCAGTCAGCCAAAAACAAGCACACACACAAAAATCCCTCGAAAGTTTCAGAATCAAAGAGAACCTGCCTCAAAAGGGTAAGGCAGGGTTGACAGGAGACCCGATGCCACCTCCGGCTTCTGTATGCACATACAGACAGTGCACCAATATACTCATGAGCACATCAGCCACACTCACCAAGGGGAGGCAGGAAACAAAGCTACACAGATATCACAATCTCCACACATCCTAATGACTAACATGAAATCTACTGAGATGGGAGCAACAGAATTTGCTTTTGTGTAGCTGTTTTTATGTGCTTTTTACTTTTCTTTTTAACCTTCTGCGTAGTTTCCAAATTTCAGATAATGGGCATGGATTGATTGTTAAACATAAAATTAATTTTTAAAATTCAGACAGAATACATCTAACCACAAATGCCTGCTGGGGGAGTAAAGGCACAACAAGCATTTGTCTCTCACCTCACTACAATGTAAGAAATATGTTTAGTTTTTTACATTTGTGTGTGTGTGCGCGCTCACACCCATGCCATGACCCTTGTGTGCGTATCAGAAGACATCTTGTGGGAGCTGGCTCTCTCCTTCCACCATGCGGTTGTTTGTCAGGCTAGGCAGCCAGTGCCTTTGCCGGCTGAAATATTTTAACAATCGGAGCCACAGCTCCCTGATGGCAACAGCAGCTCAAGGACGCAGCTCTGCACCTGCTTCCTACAGGCCTGAAAGCAGAGGAGCTGGGCGGCGTCACTCACATCGGTCTGGAGATGAGCTGGCGCTTCTGAGTTGTCATTGATCCTCCGGACGCTGTCATAGTGCTCACCGTACCGGTAGGCGATGTGGAGCTCCCTCACATTGCCTTTGTCCGTACCCCGAATCTGCAGGCACAAAAGAGGACCTGGAGGGTGGGCCTGTGGGGAGTCTGGGGCCTGGCCAGGAAGCCAGGCCAGCTGCCCTACAAAGACAGACTGCGACTCTGGGTAGGACATGCCAGTCTCTGAGCTCTCTCCTTCCCAGGCTTATAGGCCTCCATGTGCCTATGCAGCATTTGCCAATATGAAAATTAATCCATATGGAAGTGCATAAAAGCCAGGGGCAGGCCTGCAATTAAGTCAGATAAAATTAAGTTCCTAGCCTCTCAAGTGCAGAGGCTCATTCCAACGGAAAGATCCAGGCACACACCCAGATTTGTTAGGCCTGAAGCTCAAACAATTTGAGGAGTATCCTTGAAAAACAGAAGTAAAATGTCAAGTATAAGATTTCTAGACCCTCTTGAAGACCTTAAAATGGAACCATGCAAACAGGCCTGGCATGGGTCATTAACTATAATAAATTCACCTCCCCTTCCCGTCAATCTCAAGGAGACTTGGAAGCAGCAACAATCTCAAAACCTGTCACCCGGACCAGTTCCAAGACAAAATGCTGCAGAGTAAAACCAGGCTGGCCTACCACATGGTCTGCGCACTCGCCGACAGGTATTACACTTCACCCACACCCTGGGACATGACAAGAACCAAAGCCTAAAATCATGCCAAAAAACAGACAAAACTTGAAGCACTGGGCTTGGTAGTTTCCTCCCACAACACCCACGCCGCAGAAACGAAAGTGATTCCGATTCTGCCCCTCGGTAACTGTGCTTCCGTTAAAACTCCGACATTAGCTCTCCTGGCTTTTAATACCGGTCCCAGGAAATTTGAGGTGACCATTAACTTAAACAGTCATCAAGGTCCAAAAGCAGCAAGTCCTTGGGAGCACCCAACCCCATACAGGAAGAGCACAAGCTTGTGTAATGGGATGCCGAGCTCGGGAAGGCGGTGAGCCTAGACGGATACACAGCACAGCTGCAGCACTGTGTCTCCCAGAAAGAAGTGCTTCACTGACAGAGGAAGTGCTTCACTCTGTCTTCAGGTGACAAAGTTCCTAAAGCACTTACATTCTTACTAACAAGGCATGCGTATTATGAATAGAAATTAACTAGAAGAGTCACCAAAATTACTAGGCAGCCACATTCACAGGCTGCTACATAACAGGCCTGTCGCTTGCTGCACTATACATGGAGACCACTCACAGGAGCACACACCAATGCAGGAGACAATGCAGGTTTCGGTCTCCATGCTGAGTCTCAGCCAACTCATCACTAATGCTCAGAACCGTGATGCTCCACCAAGCAGAGGAGAGCTGATGCGAATACAGTGAAATACACACTTCCATTGTTTTGAAAGTCACAGACCAGAGCACTGCAGAAACAGACTTGAAGAGATGTGAGAATCAGGTAGTTGAGGAATGTCACGGTTATCTCAGGGAAAGCAGCGGATGGCCACGTCTCTGGCGTGGGTTTCTCCTAGCTAGGCTCCTCACACTGTGTACTCAAGTGTCCTGACAACTCTGCCTACCAAGTGTGCTAATGACAAACACCAAAACTGGAGGTAACTATGTTCTCAGCCAGCAGAGCAAGCTTACGAGCACCCACCAAAAACAGGGTCCCCTCTCTGCCATCAGGACACCTGGCAACACCGGGCCAAGGACATGGATCCTGGTTCCCTCCTGCTCACAGCATCCCTGAAGTGGATGTTCTCACCAGCCCGGCCAGCATCTGCTTTACTCTGTTCTTGTGTAAATCTGTTCAAAGGACACTGTGCCAGGTACAAAAGGCTACAGGCTTCCACTTGTGACAGAAAGGCCCAGCCGTGAGGAAGACAATCGGGCAGTGGGTCCCGGGGGTTGGGAAGGAGATGGGAAGACAGTGACTGCTCAGAGCGGGCACCGACTTCTTGGTGGAGTGGAGCTACCAGATGCTGATGGTGGTATTTCGCCACAGCACTGAACTACAAGCCAGAAGAGAGTGAATTCTGCTATGAGTAGGTTATATTTCTAGAACCTGGATCCTCCTTCTAAAAGAAAAGAGGACAGGCCACCACTAAGGGAATTACAAAATAGTGCTTGCAGGCAGCACACCTATGAGACAGTAATGTGTGCAGTGGGGTGTGTGTGTGTGTGTGTGTGTGTGTGTGTGTGTGTGTGTGTGTGTGTGGTGTGAGTGAATTCATGCAGATGTGTTTACAACGTACTGTAAAAACACTGTGACGCACCCTCCAGCTACATGCCCACGTGGGGGAACTGGCGGACACACTCTAGAAGTGTTAACAGTCACAATTCTGTCAGTGTGACTCTCAAGCTCTTACCATAGGGGCTTTCCTGAGTTTTCTGATTTTCTTCAATTAAAACACCTTATCTTTCCAGTTAAGAAAAGGTTCAAAGTGGTGAAGTAGAACAGCGGGTCAGTGAGGGCATGTGCCTTGCTGGAGTGATCCACAAATGACACAAAGCCTCTGAATTCTGGGAGAATGAATGAGGAGGGGGGTGCGCACTCAGCCAGTGACCTTTGACCGCCCATGCTCTAGAATGTTGGGTTTGATGGGCTGACAGATGAAATTAATGCAGCATGCAAAGAGAGGGCGAAGGAGCTAAAGGGACCCTTTGCAGCGGAGGGGGTAGCGTGTCTCGGCCTGGAGCGAACATCTGCTATAATATAAAATCTTTATTGTAGAAAAAAAAACAAAACACAGAAATAAAGCTGAATAAAAGCAGCACTCTGCCGTTCAGGAAACACTTTTTAGTCATTACGGTGAATATAGTCATTATGATAAACTTTATGACGCTTCTCTACTCCTAAAATACACACAAATCACAGGGGAGTGGACATACTTCAAAGCTACAATTTGTGTGTTCTAAACATTTATATTCTAAAATAATTTAATAGAATCATCTGAAGGATTTCCAATTAGGTTCCGTCCCCAAATTACCCACTTAGCTGACTGCTGAGTAACATCTCCAGCATCATAAATACCTCGAACTCATTCTCCAGATTCCATTTGCACCCAGCTAGGAGGTAGTTCCAAATACCACAAGATCCCATCTTTGGGCTCACGGCCCAAGCTACTCTCTGGAGTTCAGCATCACAGCTGAACCCGATCATCTAAGGATCGTCCCCAAAGCTAACTTACGGGTAAATGCCTACACAGGTGACCTACCTGCCACAAAGGGGCATTAAGCTGATGGATCACCACATTCAACTGACGGTTTCTTGCAAAGGCTACAATTGCATCATTGCCAGCAAAAGTACCAGGCTTTGCCAAACTGGCCACTGCATGGAAACAGGAAAGAAAAATGAAGTGTTTATGATGGCAAGTGCAAATGCAAACATGGTTGGGATTTACGTAGCTGCAGCAGTGAGAAGCAAGAACATGCACCCGCATAGTCCAACTGTTGGTCTAGGAAGTCAGAGGTGAACAAATGCAGGGGTGCTTGCTACAAGAAGGATCTGCTGACTAATCCCTCAGGAAACGCCGCGTGCTTCTAATCTGCCCAGCTGTATGAGAGACACGGAGCGTGCAACGACGGAGTAAGGGCAGCGGCTCACGTTAATGGACACTACATGCGCGTGTCAGGCAGGGCTCGGACCATTTCTCAGAACTGTCAGTTTAACCATCACAGCAGTGCTCTGGAAGGATTATCACACTTGTCACTAGAAAAATGAACAGACTGAGGTGAGACCACAGAGCCTGACATGGTGAGCTGAGCTTTCATGCCAGCAGCTGACTCCACAGCCCTGGCTTGGGCTACTCTGTCACTCCGCCCTGGAGATTATAATCAGAATAATATTGGCAATGCTGATTACTGATAAATGCTTCAGCAAAGGGCAGCTCTGGCCTTTACCCCAGGCTCCTGCAAAGTAACCTCCAATCCTTGGGAATTTCTAAAAGAGAAAAGCGAGTCTCTCTCTTTTGTGATGGCTCTACACTAAAGCTGCTGAGAAACAATACAGCAGCCATGAGCTACCACTAAAAAAAAGAAGAAGAAAAAAAAGAAACCACCTCTGACTCTGAAGCTGGAGTGAGCAGCTTCCCCGCTGACAACACTCTGTGCACAGTAGCTCAGAAATGCCATGAGCATAAATCTTCCGCAGGACAAAGCAGCATTGTGCTTGCACTGGACCGTGATGGATTGAGTCTCCGGCTGGTTCACTGTGGTCTGTTCCCTTCCCCCACAAAACCATAGCTGGCAGGAGAGCTCCTGCGAATGGGGGGGGGGGGGGGGTCAGAGATGAGGAAAACTTTGCACAGCTGTGCTCTCAAACCCTAGCTTCATGTCAGAAACACGAGCATTCGTGTGTGTGTGTGTGTGTGTGCGTGTGCATGTGCGTGTGTAGGGGGTGGAAGATGATGAGTATCACATGAACTGCTAGCCTGAAACTACTAAACTCATGCTCCAAGGCCAAGCAGGAGTTAAAAGGAGCAATGGATGATATTGCAAACAGAACAAGAGACACTGTGGACAGCACTGAATGGCAGGAACCTAAACCGCAGAGAGAGAGGGAGGAAACATGGTGAGAAATGGAGAGAGGACAGAAATTAAAAATCACAGGTCCTGCAGGGCTATAAGAGGCTCAGTCCTCAGAACGGTGGGAACCAGAAACAGATTTTGAAGGAAAACAAACTTGTATCACAACTCTGACTGTGCTGTAGAACACACTGAAGAGATCCAGGGGCCATAAGGCCAGTCCACCCTGCACTGAGGACACCTGTGAAAATGGCTACCACACCTGAGTTTCACAAGTGTGTTCCAGTTTCATTCTGTTGCTGTGACAAACTCAGTGGCCAAAAGCAACTTGGAGGAGGAAAGTGCTATTTCATCTTACCCATCTAGGTCAGTCCATTACTGGAGGAACCTAGAGGCCAGCTCAGGAAAAAAGAAGCTTGCTGGCTCATCTCTGAGCCTATGCTTAGCTAGCTCTTACACAGCTCTGAATCAGCAGCCTAGGGATAAAGCCACCCACAGTGGGCTGGGCCTCCTATATCAATTAGCAATCAAGACAATCCCCAATAGACATGTGCACAGGCCTGCTGAATAGAGGCAATCTCTCAACTGAGGTTAGATGGAATATCTGTTCCCAGGTGACTCTAGGTTATGTCAAGTTGACAATAACAACTGACCCGAACAGGTGGTAAGAAGAGAAAACCTGCTGAGGAAATGGGGGAAGAGGCAATGAATAACGAATGGGTAAGTAGGAGGAGGCAGGGAGATGAAGCATCATGAACAGCAAGAGTTCTGATCTGGACATCTGTACAAATGGGGAGAGAGAGTGGTGATTCTGCCAAGCCACAGTCTAGAGGGTGAGAATAAACCTGAAAATAAAGCCTACTGCCAAGGTCCTCACCACATGCATTCATTAATTCAGCAAATACTTCATGAATGCCGCTAAGTGTCAGGTGTGGCTGGATCCGGAACAAAGGCATGACACCATGTCCCTGAGAAACTTAAGGCATTAAAGGCCCATAAGTGTGGTTAAGAGAGATAAAGACAATGGGCCTGACCTTCAACACAGGAGAACACAGGCTCCCCACTGTTTTCCCTTTCTGCTCTGGAGTCAAAGCCATTTGTCACCTCTTTGATGCTTTATAGTGCTCAGCCATGCAGTGACATTTCAAGAGAACAGCTTTCCCCTGCTCAACTAAAGTGACTTCACATCAGCAACTGAAGCTTTGCACTCCCTGTTCTGATCCACTTCTACACCCCAAATCCATTATAAGACCTTCCCTGAGGATGTTCAAGTGGAATTCAGACCAAATTTCATACAACGTTACACTGAAAAGTGTTTTACTTAAACAAGGCTGGCTTCAGACTCCTGAGTGCTAGGACACGAGTGCACCTGCACACTCAGAAACATGATTTGTGTATAAACAACACAAAGCTCCAAAATCTGACACACACACACACACACACACACACACACACACACAAACATGTAAATGCTAACTGCCTGCTTGAAAATCGATCCCAGGAAGAGGGCCACCAGAACTCAGTGACAGGTACAGACTACCTACCCAGAGCTCCATATACACTGGGGTCACAGACAGTGTCCCCAGACATGCCCTCCCTCTGTCCTCCATGCTTAGAGATATTGTTAAGCAGGAACTTCAACTCCCTGGTCTCCTCATGAGTAAACTCCTCCAGCTGCTCTAGGACTGGCCCCTTCACATTGCTCTCAGAACTGCCAAGATGGACAGCCTCCTCACCAGCCTCTGCACCTAGACTTGCTCTCCTCCAGTCTCAATGTGGCCCCACACTGTCATCAAAACAGACTATGCTGCCTGCTCCTGGTAAGACACAGATGTAAGCCCGGAGTGGGGTTGCAGGCTGTGGGTGGGGAAGCAGCTCAGTTGGTAGAATGCTTGCATGGCGTGCAGGAGGCTGTGAGTCCCATCCATGGCATCCCATAAACTGGGTGTGGCGGAACATTTGGGAGGATCAAAACGTCAGGCTACGCACACACTCAAAATTAAAAGAAAAAAGGCATCTATAAAACATACATTTGTCAGTGCCTGGGATAATAACAGATTCTTAGCAATTATTTGTCAAAACTAATATTGGAAGTTTATATATATTTCTGATAGATTTTTGTCAAATTAAATTACAACTAATTAGAATGATTAAAACTAAAACCAATGACTTGCCTCAAAAAAGGGGCGGGAGAGGGTTGTATTTAGGCTTTTGGTGAGCTGTTAACATGGGCTTACTGGCTTCATTTCTCTAGTTATAAATACATGATTACTTGAATATGACACTACCCACAGCCCCATCGCCCTCAGACAGCTAACTCAGGAAGAATTTAAGTTTATTATCTAATTTAATCTTCACCAAGAAAAAATCCTTTCAGGTGCTTTAATATCTTCTTTTTACAAAAATTTTAAAAGCAGGCTAGAGAGATGGCTCAGAGGTTAAGAGCACTGGCTGTACTTCCAAAGGTCCTGAGTTCAATACCCAGCAACCACATGGTGGCTCACAACCATCTAAAATGAGATCTGGTGCCCTCTTCTGGCCTGCAGGCACACATGCAGATAAAATACTGTATAAATAATAACTAAATAATTTTTTTTTTTTAATTTAAAAGCAAGGGGGAAAAAAAAGACCCATCAAAAACAGCTAAAGTGCTTTCCATGCCTGCACCGTGCCCACGCGTTGTGGACTGCTTGAAAGGCAGACTCCATAGTACACACTAGCTTACAGCCTATCTCTCCGCCCGCTGGTAAGAGGTCACAGAGTCTGGCCAATCATCATGGCTCCTGTTTCTTTTTCTTTTCTTCGGGAGGTGACAATGTTGAGTGAGGATCAAGCCCAAGGGAGACAAGCACCCTCCCTGAGCCACACCCCTAACTACCAACACCATCACTTGTATTCAGGGAGACCTACCTCAAAATCTAAGCATTCCTCGGCTGCACAGTTTGGGCTTATCAGACTATGCAAATAAGTGTTTGCTAAGTAAATGAATGGCCTAATTTACCTAAGCAAACCCTGGCAGTAGGGGCAGGTGCTGGGGGGCTGATTGCCCAGCAGGACTCCTGAAGGACCCAAGGTCCCACAGTGAACCTACCATGCTTCTCAAAAGGAATGTCATCTTCCACGAAGGGCTCGAAATCTTCGCGCTGCCTTATCATGTAGTCCACCGTCTCCTGCCGGTGCTTGAGATGGTTCCGAGAATGACCCTCCAACTGATCGCCCAGAGCTCTGAACAGGCAGTTGCTGTCAAAACAAAGATGCTGCTCAAGATCTGTCAAAAAACAGACTTAGTTCATCTAACATGCCTGGCTGTCCTCAAAGGAGCTCGGGGAGGGGACACCTCGGCTCTTCATAGCAGACGCTGTGGGGAGGGCTCTAGGACAGACCGAGCCAGCTTCATCAGCACACACTTGAGGGGCAGCAAATAGGATTCTTGTCCCGGCTTACCAGCTGACTGGCTCAAAAATTACTCAAATTACTCAGGGAGTCTCAGTTGGTTCAATGGTGGAGTTGATAACCAGCGCCTTAATCCAGGGCACAGGCCTCACAAACCACTCCAAGCCTAAGATCAAAAACTCCCAAAATGATGTCACAGCTATCGATACCTTCCTGGACCAAGCCTCACTAAAACTGCCCAGACAGGACACCACTCATTCAGTACATAAGCCACAGCAGCTTACGAAGCTGCTAAAACACAGAGGTCTGTGCCACGTCTGAGAGCAGAGGAGGAAGCATCCTGACAGTTATGCCATGGAAAGGCATGAGCCCTTGCCTGCTCACCTTGGCACGAGGGAACAATGCCACTGTTAAGCACCTTGTTTGTTTTCTAAAATTAAAATGCTAGAAATATAGCTGGCAAGATGGCCAGTGGGTAAAGCGTTGGGTCCAAGATGCAAACCTGGGCAACCTGGCTCCAGTCATGATTCTTCCAATCACCAGAATATTAGCTGCAGTTACCCCATGTACAAGTAATATTCTTTTCATTTGCCATACTTTATTTGAGCCCACTAAAAACAAGTCAAAAACAAAAACAAAACAAAACAACACTGCAATTACTTGATTTTCTGATGGGGCTACAAGGCAGTGACACAAGAAACATTAACAAACAGTACAGTGGCCTGGGTTCCCTTAGGAAGCCCTGAAAACACTGCAGATGCTACTGAGCACAGCATCACAGCCCTAGGGGCCTCCCAGAGTTTCGGCTGCTCCCCAGAGTTCACGCTCTCACCACTTCAGGGCAGCTGGGCTACTTGGGTGCCGACACCATGGACACCTGAGGCCACTCTGTCAGAAGGAATGTCCTGCTCTCTGCCAGTCCTTAGAGCATCCTCAGGCTCTGTCCACCAGATGCCACGACCGCACCACCTCCCTCCTCACCAGCTGTGACAACCAACAATGTCCCCAGACAGTCCCAACTGTCCCCTGGGAGGCAAAACCATCCTTGCTTGAGAACCACTGCACTTTAGGGATGCACAGATGGAAGGTCGTGCATTCGCGTTCAGAAAAACAACCAATTACAGAATGCTATATAAGGAGCATGCCTACAGCAAGTCGCCATCTTGGGCCAGAACAGAAAGAGAGGAAATGGTAACTATTTTTATATTAGCAAAGCTTCACTATACTTTACCCCGCTACTAGTCAACAAATATTAATGCATAAAATAATCTGTTAGCTGGGCAGTGGTGGAGCATGCCCTTAATGCCAGCACTCGGGAAGTAGAAGCAGGTGGATCTCTGAGTTCCAGGCCAGCCTGGTCTACAGAGTGAGTTCCAGAACAGCCAGGGCTACACATAAAACCCCCCATCTAATTTAAAAAAGGAAAAAAAGGGGGGGGGGGGAGGAAAAGAAAGGAAGGAAGGAAGGAAAGAGGAAGGAGGAAGGAAGGAAGGAGGAAGGAAGGAAGGAGGAAGGAAGGAAGGAAGGCAGACTCTCACAATCTGTGGTACTTCCCAAACCACCACTCCATGGGAAACAGCACTCTGCAGTGATGGAGGACAGCAGCACAACACTAGAACAGCTGAGCCAGCCCTTCAAATGTCGCCCAAGCAAAGGTTTGTATACGGCAGGAGGCTAGCTTCATGAAGCTGCCCAAGAACAGACTGGGAACTAAGGCGGCCTCTGCCCCTCACTTCCTAGAACTACTCTTTTAAACCGTGCCCCCCTCCCACTGCACAACTCAAAGCTATCGGACTCCGTGCTCAAGCATGGCTCCTTCTGTGAGGCATCTTGCACGTGGAAGACACAGACTCCTTGCTGGCTTCATAAGAAAAGGTCTCCACTTCCCTCTCAACAGCACCACTATGATGAGTTATGAAGACTACATCCAACTGCTTTCCCGTATCTGCTTCCCAAGTATAGCCCAGAGACAGAGGAAAGAGGGTCTCTGTAAGTTTCAGTTGGTCTACATAGTAATGAGTTCCAGGATAATCAGGGCTACAAAGAAAAACACTGTCAAAAATAAATAAATAAATAGATAGATAGATAGATAAATAAATGATAGATAGATAGATAGATAGATAGATAGATAGATAGATAGATAGATAGATAAATAAGCAAGCAAGCTACTATCTCAAAGCGTGATAACTGACCGGTATGCTTGTGCACTTCTGTTTTAAATTATGAATATAGTAAATATTGAGCTATGGCTCTACAGCACGCATGCGTGGGCTTAATCCTTGGCTGTTTGCTTTTCTAGACAGGGTTTCTCTGTGCAGTCTTGGCTGGCTGTCCTGGAACTCACTCTGTACAGCAGGCTGGCCGGAACTCACAGAGATCCACCTTGCCTCCCAAGTGCTGGGATTAAAGGTACCACTACCCCTCGGTGGTTTTTAAGGATATAAAGGGGGCCCAAAGACCAAAATATACGTGTCCCACTTTTACACACCTCCCTGCCATGAACCCCTCTACGTCTCAGTCACCGTCCTGTTTCCAGAACTCCTTTTTTGGCAATGCCTGAGGATTAACTGAAGAAGTCTGCTATCTTAGGGAAGGAAGGAGAAAGAAAGTATACTCCCAAAGATGCCCAGAACCTCTTGAAAGTCCTCTCACTGTGCGCTGCTGTTCATGAGCGACTGTGGAGTACCTATTTCCCCCCGAATGTATTTAGGACATACAGAAACCATGCCCAGTCTGACAGATACAACCCAACCATTTGCAGAACAGCCACAAGCCTGGCTCCACTGCATTCAATGGATGCTGTTTGTTAGTTTGTTTGTTTGTTTGTTTGTTTGTTTGTTGAGACAAGATTTCTCTGGCTCTATTTGTAAGCCAGGTTGGCCTTGAACTCAGAGAGATCAGCCTGCCTCAGCCTCCCCAGTGCTGAGACCAGGGATTAAAGGGCGATGGCAGCACACCTTTAATTCTAGCACTCTGGAGCCAGAAGCAGACAGATCTCTGAGTTTCAGGTCAGTCTGCTCTACAGAGAGAGTTCTATGACAGCCAGGGGCTACACAGAGAAATCCTGTCTCGAAAAAAAACAACTACAAAAAGTCCTGAATGTCTTCTATAACCCAGGAACTATTCTAGGTGGTGGCTGAATGCAATTAAGTTCTAATTACAACTTAAGCAAAAATACCTACCCAATGTGCCTGAAGCTCTGAAGGCAGGAAAGACAAATGGGGCTAGTTTATTAGGTCTTGATTAGTAAACATCAATATAGTATAAAATGAAGAAGACTATTCTGCAGGGGATGAAAGTGCACACCTTTAATCCCAGGAGACAGCTGTAGTTGAAGGACAAATTCAAACTAAGGCTGTCGAGGTTTCTTTGGCTTTCTTGTTTGTTTGAAGTCCTCTCGAGAACTCTATCGGCCAGGCTGGCTTCAACCTCAGAGCAATCCCCCTGCCTCAGTGCTAGCATTACAAACAGGAGCCACCACATCTAGCTTTGTCTACTCCTTAGCTGTAGTCTATTTACTCTTCTGCAGCTCAACCTGACCACTCATGGAACACTACACCTCGAAGCTGGGTTCCCTTGGATCTGCTAACTCGTTCCTCTCCCCGCCTCTTTACCCTCTTCCTTCTCTCTCCCTACGCTCCTGGACGCACGTCCCCTTTCCGTAAATCCTTTCCCTCACCTTCCTACATCCCTCTTTCCAGCTGTCACCCTTGTTTCGGGTTCCCCAAAGCAGCTGGCCGGGGATTTTCATGTCTTTTGCTTGGGGAACCCAAAGCGTGGGGAGCAAGAAGTGGGGAAGCTGCCTTCAGCTCTCCGCCCGCGTCACCCCTGTGCAGAAGGGGTGGCCCAGCATGACACCGAGAGGAACCTAGGTCCCTTGCCATTCGGCGTCATGACAGCTGCACTTCGAGGTCACCTCTCAGACCTGCCCCGGACCCTCGGGGGACCTGAGACAGCGTTCCACCAGGCTCAGCCCCAGCATCCCCCTCTCGGCGGCGGCTGGCCCTACGCATCCCCAGCGCCGCTCCCCGCACGCCCGACCCGCCTCACCCGTCCCCCGGCACCTCCCGCAGCTTCAGCCCCAGGGCCTGCAGCTGGTTGGCGAAGCTCACAAACTCTTCCTCGCAGCCGCTGCCGCCAGGCTCCGGCCAGTTCCGCCGCTCCTTGGCCAGCGCCCGGCGCGCCGCCCGCTCGTCCCGCTTGCGCTCCGCCTCGGCACGGCGGCCACCGCTGCCCGGCCGGCCCTTCGCCGCTTGCTTCCGGGACATGGCAGCGGCTCACGGCCCGCCGCGGAAGGAGCCGGAGCCGCAGAGCGCGGGGCCGGAGTCTCAGCCTGCCGCCCGGCACTAAGCAACTCCCCACTGCGCCGGCGCGGTCGCCTGGCATCTGGGTCACGTGTCGGTAACCCCGCCCTCCCCCGCCCCCCGGAGGACTGGGGAGGCAGACACCATAGAGAGAGAGAGCTGGGCGAGCTAGAGAAGCACCTGTCTTGGTTGGGTCTCTTCCGCCCCCTCGTGGTGGGTAGTGCCCAGTGAGGCACTCTGGGACCAGAACATCAAGGGACTGAGGATGTTAGAAGAGATAGAGTCAAAAGCAGGTGCAAAAATTCGAAAAAGGGAGGAAATTAAGACGGGTGGCGTGGGGATGTGCTTGCCTAAAATGTGCAAATCCGAGTTCGATTCCACACATGCGCGTGCGTGCACAACCACTTAGGAAGATAGTTCAGTCCATACAGCGCCTGCCCGACAAGCATGAGGACCAGAGTTCGGATCCCTATCATTCACTTTAAGAAGGATGGGCATGTCAGTGAGCCCCAACACCGAGGAAGCAGAGACAGTCCAGGGCAGTCACTGGCCAGCCAGTTCAGCCAATCAGTGAGCTCCAAGTTCAACAAGAGACCCCCGTCACAAGAAATAAGGTAGGCCACGATCTCACTATGGCTATGGTGAGATCAAGTCGACGAGGCCAGTCAACATTCCAACAGGAAGCACTAATTTAGAGTGGGAGGGAGGAGTTGGTGGCCCATAGGATTAAAGGCATTATTTACATGTATGAAATTGTCAAAGAATGAATAAAAGATGCTCTATTTTAGAAGTGAATGGGAGGCTAGAGAGGTGGCACAGTGGTTAGGAGCACTGTAATTCTTACCAGGGACCCGGGTTCAGTTCCCAGAACCCACAGGGTGGTTCACAGCTCTTGGTAACCCCAGTTCCAGGAGATCTGGTGCTCTCTTACAACCTCAGCAAGCACTGCATGCGTCTGGTGTATACACACACACACACACACCACACACACACACACACACACACACATGAGCAAAACACTCACACGCAGGCAAAACACTCATACACATCAAATAAAAATAGGTAAATCTAAAAAAAGAAAAAATTTAGGTAAATCTTTTTAAAAAAGAAATTAAGATGCAGAGCAAAAGAGGGAGACACTGGATGCTGACCTCTGGTCTCCACCTGCATTCCCACACAGGTGCACACACATAAACACAAATGTGAGCCCTCATTGAAAGAGACACTTCCGTGTGGCTCATTTCCCGCCCCCACCCTCCCCGGATTACTGGAACCTCAACCCAAAAGGTTAAGTAACTGTAAGGGCCACACAGTTGAGAAGCCAGGCTTTGCCCTGACGCAAAAACCCAGACGTTTCATTACTCCTGTCCTTCCCCAGTAATCCAAAGTGGAGCAAGCCTTCCTGTCCAATAATCTGGATTCCAACCCAGACTGGCCAATCTAGGTCTGCCTGGACTGAAGCTGTTCCTGGGATGCGCAACTTTCTGTTTCAAACTGATAGTGCTGGGAAAACCAGGACAGTAGTTTGCCCTACGCCATTCCCACTTGATCTGAGAGCTACTACCATCAGTAACATGTCTTTCTTATCCTGGCCCCTCTCATCTTGCCCTCTCTCCACAATAATGTCACTAGCTTCTCTTCTATCCAAGTGAGATCTTCCATTACCTGTCCTGGGACCACTAGGCAGGCATGGGAGCTCGGGCTTAGAGCCCCCAAAGTGGGAGGCTACGGCAGGAGAGTTCCATGAAGTTGAGGGCAGCCTGTGCTACAGGGTAATACTGGGCTAAGCTAGAGTAGGACCTTTTCTCATAAAAATCAATGATAAGTAATGATTCCACTGAAGGCCAGCTTGAAGAACCAACAAGTTTATCGGGGAATTACAGGAGTATAAATGAGGAGTTGCTTACAGAAGCAGGGATGGCTCAGAGGCAGCTACAGCACCAAAAGCCTGGCCTGGCCTAGATGCCCCAATTCAGAAAAGCTACATTCCCTAGGTTTCTCTGAGTGGCTTGTAGGCAGCTTACCAGGTTGGAGAATCTCCTCCATCTGCTTCTATAAACTGGTCTTGTTAGCTCCAGGAACTTCCTGAGACTTATAAGTTGTTCACATCTTGAGTCTCATGAGCCTCCTTTTTGGAAAGAATGTTTCAGTTCAGAGGAGATTGCTACACAGCACAGATAAATTACAGATTTAGAGAGACATGGACCTAGACTACAGGGAGCCAAAAATCCAAAGGTTTTATTATAAGCAAGGATGCAGTGATGACAATGCTGTATGAAAGATGCTATTAGGAGAGTGTGTATGAGGTATCAGGGAGAAAGAAGTTGTTAAAAATGCAAAATGACTTCTCAGAGGAGAAGATTCTCAGTTGAAACTTAAAGGGTGAGTAGAAATGGTCCAGAGCAGGGAGTATTGAGTCTCCAGAACCACACCCAGGCTTTGAGGAACTGAAGGAATGTGAAGCTTGAGCCCTGAGGTGGGAGATGGAAGGAAACCCATGCTGTGGTTTATATAGGGTTCATCCTCCAAACATCATGAATCAGAAACTCGGTGTCCAGTGTTATAGTGTTGAAGTAGTGAGACCTTTAAGAAGTGGGGTCTGGGACTGGAGAGTTGGGTCAGTGTTTAAGAGTACTTGCTACTCTTTCAGAAGATAGAAGTCTGGTTCCCAGAACCCACATGAGGCATCTCCTAAGCTGAAACTCCAGCTCCAGAAGATCTGATGCCCTCTTATGGCCTCCACAGGTACTGCATTCATGTGTACATGCACACTCATAAATAAATAAAAATTAAGTGTTTTTCAAGAGAAGTGAGTCTATGAAAGTTCCACCCTGATGAAAGAGGAACACTATTTCCATAATGAGTTCTTACAAAGAGATGTTCCCCATCTTTGGTCTCTTCTGCTCCCTGCCATGGTATGTTGGAAATACACAACTTCTTTTCCTCTTTACAGTTGCTCACAGTTAAGAGACTTTGGACTTTCAAAGTGTTACACTTTTCAAAGACTTGGAGACTTTTAAAAGTTGGGCTATGTTTTATACTAAACATGAGACCTTGAGGACAAAGGATAGAGGATTGTGGCTTAGTGATGTGTCTGTGTGTCAAGTTGACCAGGACTAGAACTGTGATGATTAGTTTTGTCAAGCTGACACAATCTAGACTGCCCTGGGAGGAGTGTCTCCATGGGGATTGTCTAGGTCAGGTTGGCCTGCAGGCGTGTCTGTAGGAACTGTCTTGATTATGTTAATCAATACGCCAGGACTCCGCCTGGAAGCGGACAGCACCATGACCTGTTTTGGGGCTCTGAACTGCTAAGGCTAGGGAAAGCTAGCTGTGCACCGAACATGGGTGCATTCATTGCCCTCTGTTTGTGGCTGTGAAGTGACCAGCTGCTTCGAGTTCATTGCCTTGACTTCCCTGCAATGAAAGACTGTCACCTGGAATTATGATGGGCTGTAACATTTTCTCCCTGAGGTTGCTTTTTGTTGGGGTGTTTTATCACAGCCACAGAAATGAAGTTGGACTCTATGGATGGAGGAGTATATCTGTCCCATACACCTCGTTGTCCCTCCTAAAGAAAACCTAAAGACAAACTCACATGGGAAGCTCTCCTGGGCATAGCATATGGCAGAATGAGCCGTTCTGTGTCACCTTTATGTAATCTATAGAGTCCCCGCCATAAAGCAAACAGAAGAGACTCCCTTGGTCCAACATCCCAGGCAGAATCTGTCTGACTGTGCGAGGCTGTGTAGCTTCCTCTGTCTAGTGGGCACAGGGAACAAATTAGGGATCACTACTCAGCCAGGACATGGAGCACCTCTTGCCCAGACCTCGGCACAGGACAGCACCCTGCCTGGCTGCCTGGCAGTCTCTGAGGAGGATGCCCAGGCTGTAAAGGTCATGGTACCATTATAGATAAGATTTTACTTTCAGTAATCGTACCTGATGCTGCAAATATGGAACACACAATATCTGTGACAGTCTTCTAGGGGGCCATAGCGAAGCATGACATTCAGCAAAAGACACATGTATGTGTCTGTCTGTTTCTATTTTGGTAGAGATGTTTGCGTGTTTGTACATATCCATACAGCATGCAATTTGTGATTCTGTTTTATCTTTTTATTTTTCATACACATGTGTTGTGCGCATACTTGTTCCTTTGTGTAGCGGTCAGGAGTCAACGTCAGGAGTCTCCCTGATCACTCTGTCTGCCTTACATTTTGAGACAGGGTCTGTCACCGAACCTGGAAGCCACAGATTCAACTAAGCTGTCTGACCCTTGATCCCCACCTCCCCCATGCTTGGACTGCACATTTAGCAACAGCGCCCAGCTTTACTCGGATGCTGAGGGCAGACCTCCAGTCCCATGCTTACACCTGTGCAAGCCCTGCGCCATCTGAGCCGTCCCCAGCCCCTCCTCTCTCTCCTCTGCTTCTGGTGGCGCTGGCCACCCTCCGGCCTGTCAGTCCCACTTTTACCCGCCATGACTTTGTCCTCTTTCTCGGGGTTCCTAGAGCCCCTTTCCTCACCGCACTCAACACACACAGGCTCTAAACGGAGTTCTGCCTGTAGACAGTAGCATGAAATCGGGGCCTTTCCCACTTCTGCCTCTCATAAGCTGTGCTGCCACCCAGCTCCGCTGTCAACAGCTCCGCTTTCCTATAAACCCGATAGTCCCTACACTAAATTATTTATCTACGCAAACGAAGACTTTAATATCTATTACTGCTTTCTCTACCGAACTGCTCCCAGGGGAAATAAGTTTCTGTTTGCAGGTGACCCACCCATGATTTCACCACTCCATCTCTTGGAAAAATGGGGGGAAATGAGCAAAGGGTGGGGCTGGGGGGTGTTCAGACTTCTCATGAACTTGCTGACCCCTGAGCCGCTGGCTTATCTTTTACAACTCCGGAGCAGTTTCCTTGTTTGGCATCCCTGTGCCAGGATCTAATTGCCCACGGAATTTGCTGTAATCCTTACGCTACATAAACTCACTACTTGCGACTGCTTCATCCGTCCCTGTGCCTGG